ATAAAAGGATCGTGGAAGGTTTCCCCCCCACTCCCTTACCTCCCTTAAGGGTGGAATTTAAGCTAGCACTAATCCCAGTGCTAAGAAATTTTAAAGGGGGAATCAAATTGGTAGCTAGGAGTTTTAAGAGGGATTTTTAAGGGAAAGGAGAATTCACCAAAAGCTTTCTAACCTGCTATAGACTGAGAGCCAAACCTGATACGTCGTCAAGAGCTGAGACCAAGTTAAAGACTGGCCAGCAAGAGGGGGCGTGTCAAGTTTGACTACTTGGTCTCAAGAGCAGGCATCCAATGAAAACCCATATGTGTGAATTCTCCATCTCCCGTACTGGAGAACTACCTGTACTGCAATTAAACTAACTTAAATCTGCTACTATCTTAACAAGAATTCATTATAGTTAGAGGTTTGCTACGAAAATATTTAGTTATGGACGTAGAAATAACTGGATGGTTCAGAAGACAGCACAGTTATTCAAATGATTTGTAAAATCAGCAGTGTAGTTCATAACAAATGCCATTTTGCATTTTTTTCATCATTCTGTTGCAACTTAAAACTGATCATCTAACTGGTAACTCTGACATAAGCCTATAATTTCAAGTTTGTTCAAAAGAAAAACACAACAGTTTTCTTATTCTACGGTATTGATTCTATAAAAATATTTTGCAGCTTGTAAGCATTTAACTGCTAAAGGCTCAAAACCCAGAGCATATCTGATCCACACAAAATTTCAGTGACCGAGTAAGATATTCCTTACTCACTAAAAACAACAGTTCAATACGTTAGAAAGTTAAGCCAAATCCATTTGTGTTCAAAGATCAAACATCTTTTTTCATAGCCAAGTCTTTTATTTGCCTTCTCCACAAATACTTTAACTAAGAAAAGAAATCAGAAGGGACAATAAAGCTTAAAAAGCATGAACAAAAGTCATTCTTGTACTTCTAACTTTGATCCAACCCAAGACACAAACTTTTACAGCTTTCAGAAAGTGTGACAAATATTAAACAAAATGTCCAAAATATCACATGGGATGAAAAGGTTCACTTATTATGATGTCCAATAATATTTCACAGTGTATATTGCTGATTTTGTACCTTTATTTGCTGTCTTCTGAGCATTGCAAGTTCCCTCATATCTCGGAATGGTTGCAGTAAATATTGATAGAGTTCTGTGGTGGCTTCAGCAAGACTACCATATGCATCATCTTCCATTTGATATAATTCCAGCAACTCCACCATGCTTTCTGTATTCTTGTGTTTTTCCAGAAGCTGTGCAAAAGTGAAAGAAAATATTAAAGTATTATTAAATTTAAAATATGAAACCCTATGAAATAGGCATAGGAGCTCATAATTTTGGCTACTAACATTCATCCTAGTATCTCAGTGTATGATATTGGTATCTTAATCACACCCCATATTTTTTGTTAAATTATAAAACAAAAATAGCTAAGACGTTTGATCTGGCCCCTTTTTTTATTTAAACACCATGGTATCCAAGTATTAGTTATTGGTTACATTCATTTATTTGTTTACTTATATTGCTGTTCTAATCCAGCAGGCTGTGGACTTATAAAGATAATATATTATTTATTAAAAGCCTTTTCATGTAATAAAATTTTGATTCTTCCAGTATATTGTCCAGCTATAGAACCTTCTACTTGATGTAGAATTATGCAGTATTTTCTACACTGTCCACAGTTTAAGGATAATATGCATGGAATTCAAGAATTTAATTGCTTATATTGTAAGTCTCACTAGTCAGAACAGCAAAAAATACAAAGCAGCATCCGTTCTTAAAAGGTTAACCTACAGATTAATTTTTATCCCATAACATAGACATCCATGGAGGGGGGAGGAACGAAATGAGGATCATGATGTGTTGGTGCAAAAGTCACAACTTATGTACTTGTGTCAGATTTTGGATGGAGTTTACATCATGATGTCATTGTGGGTATTCTTATTCTGACACAATTTTGGCTTGTTGCAGATACTGCTGACACATAAATAGCTATGCACAGACATCTGTGCATAGAAACACACACATGCACAGAACACTCACAGATATCATGCAAGAAGAGAGCCTGGATTAGGTTTAGCAAGCATATAAGAATCTTCCTTTCCCAGTAATGAATGAACCCATTTTAATATACATAGTAAGCAGGAGAGAGAGCGCAAGTCCTCTATGCTAATCCTGGGTGATTATACTTTATCATCATCACCACCACCACCACCGTTTTAGCCATTGTCTATCCACTACAGGATGAATGCCTCTTCTCCATGTTTCCAACCAATATTATTTATATTTATATTATTTTTTAATTGGAGGACAATAAAAACTTAAAAGTATTTAAAATTAAAACCTGTATATTATTCTATACAAGTTGTCTTCAGCTAATGATGGTAATTGCTAACACTTGTCTGTTGCTAAGTGACATGGTTGTATCGCACAATGTCATATGACTGTGTCAACTTACAATGGCAGTTCCAGCAGTTTCAATTGCAGTTGTTAAATGAATTCCATACAGTCACTAAGCGCAACATCGTGTGATTGCTGTTTGCAACCTCTTGCTGGATTCCCCACTGACTATGGTTGTTGGAAGACAACACCGAAACTTGCAAATTGTGATCACATGGCTGTAGGACACTGCAACCATTATAATTGTGAGCCAGTTGTCAAGAACTCAGGAACGGTGCAACAACTGCAACAAAGAGTCTTAAGTCTCTTTGTTCAATACTACTGTAATTTCAAATAGTTGCTGAATAAATTATAGTTAAATGAGGACTACCTGTAGTTAGTCTGTGCCTTATGTAGCAATCACTTTAGGATTGATTGTTAAATAAAAAGTATAACCAAAAACTGTTCAGGCAATGGACAATAGCTCTTTATCATGGTTCCTTCATACTGTATTTATTTTCTTTTAATCCACAGATTCAAACAATACTTAATAAAGCAAATAAGGTTTTAAAATCCTGAACAGGAAACAGCTAGTTAATTAGCTTAACTATGCCAGTAATATAATAAAGGAGTTCCCAACCGGGGGTGCTTGCACCCCCTGGGGGTGCGAGACGATATTCCAGGGGTGCAAAAACTTGGGTTTAGAAGTTTCAAATTTATAGTGTACATGAATAGAATAGAACAGAACAGAATAGAACTGGAAGGGACCTTGGAGGTCTTCTAGTCCAGCCCCCTGCTCAAGCACAAGAACCTATACCGTCTCAGACAGGTGAATGTCCAGCAAAAATGAGACAGTTGTTAAGTGATTTTTGCCCCATTTTACAACCTTTCTTGCCACAGTTATAAAATGAATCATTTGCAGTTGTTAGTAACATGGTTGTTAAGTGAATCTGGCTTCCCACTGACATTGTCAAAAGATTGCAAAAGGTAATAACATGACCCCAGGACACTACAACCATCATAAATATGAGTGAGTTGCCAAGCATCTGAGTTTTGATCATATGACCATAGGGATACTGCAATGGTTATCAGTGTGAAAAACGGTCATAAGTAATTTTTTCAGTGCCATCATAACTTCAAATGGTCACTAAATGAACTGTTATAAATTGAGGACTACCTGTACAAATATATATATATTGTACACAAATTGATAGAAGGATGTCTATGTGGAATACAACAGTGTTCAAGATATACCTACAGAGGAAATCACTATTATGGACAAGCAGTTAAAGAAGGCAGATTATAGATATAATGCAGCTATAGCCACATCCTTTAAAAAAAGTGACCGTTAGGGCTAATGGAAATAAAATTCAAGTTCTGCAATTTTTGGAAGCCTGACTTGACTGTGGGGCTGCCCAAATATATAAACCCACCTTCCTTTTCTAAATGCAGTTCCTTAACATTTGCTTGTTTAAAGAATGTACATGGCTATCCAACTCAAACACTGCAACTTCTGGATGGCATACGATACAGCCCCTCCTCCCCATATACCTCAAAGCAAGATAAAGAATTTCAGTCTTTGTGAAGACCAACAGAGTCAGGTCCAGAGGTATTTTGGGAAGATGGGTAGAAACTGTTCCAGATGACTGGTGTCACAATGGAGAAGGCATATGATACTTATGGGCAGCTTTGTGACCTAAGACTAATTCTTAACTCAAACCTGGTATCAGAAACGTGAGAATCCCAGCTGTAAAACATCCTTTTATGAGTACAAATATTCTCTCACTTATAATCTGAAATATATTTTACCTTTACAGGTTATCTTTGTTTAGCTAACACATATGGGACTATCGTGTTTCCTCGAAAATAAGACCCAGTGTTATTTATTTATTTTTTACCTTCAAAAGAGGCACCAGATCTTATTTTCGGGGGTGTCTTTTCCACTTACCTCACAGTGGCGGCATCGACAACCCCGCCCAGCCAGACCACTTCTTCTGTAGCAGCAGAAGCAGCTTCATTCTGCATCTGAGAATGGAGCTCCGGCCCGCATTTTGCAGTCAGAGGCCTTTCCGGAAGGCCTCTGCAGCCGAGAACCGAGCTATGGATTGAATTTTGGGCTCCATTGTAATCAAAAGTCGAGGACTACCTGTATCTGTTTAGGGAGACTTCCTCTCCCTAAAACTAACTGCCTGTCTCCCCAGAACAGGTAGTGTAGGCATGCTTCAGGTTCTTTTCCTTAAACATTGCCTCTTGTGGGTCCTGGAAGCTGCCTTCTCCTTTGCAATCCCCAGAAGACTTCCGCCTGGAGATCTAACTTTCAATGAGCATCAAGACCTGGCTCTCTTCCCAGGCATTGAGATTGGGTGAGATCATAATGGAAGGAGAAAGTGTCGCGGTGACAGTTTTTTCTGTTTTTCCTACTTTTGTATTGTTCTGGTTTCAGCATTATGCTGTTTTACAGTTTGGTTTTTAAGATGGATGGCTATACAAATGTTTTAAATAAATCATTTTAGTGCCAAGTCACAAAACTACAGAAAATAATTCTAAGAGCATCTTGTTTTTCTGTTTGTAGGGTTTTAGAGAGCAAAAGTTCATTCCTGCTTTAATTTACCTTTATGCAGATGGAAAGAATTCTGTGTACTCTCATAAACTTCTAATATATCAGTGAATAATGTTAAAAAGTAGGAATATAGGAAATTCTGATTAACTAGGTAAAGGCTGATGCTAGATTAGTAAATTGGCTGTCTGACTCAATTTCTTAAGAAAGAGAAGAATGTCTAGGCTTTTATAATGTATGCTTTTTTCCATTTTAATTTTTGCATGAACAATTTAACATGATCTATTTTATGTACTTTTATATTATTACAATATTGTAATATTATAAATATAAGATAAAAATAGTAAATTCCTCTGCCTTTTCTTCTCATTTATTATCCTTCAAAACAAAGGATAATAGAATATTATAGGATAGACTATTCCTGATAGTGATTATTCAGCAAATCATGAGATATCAATCTCAAAAACATTTTGGTGAGTTTTAAATTGTCTGGAAGAGATGAAACTGACATCAACCTTAGATGATGATGATGTCATCCATTCAGTCACATCTGACTCTTGGCCAACTATGTGATTAGTAAGCTGAAGATTTACTTCCTTTTTAAATACAAATTCTCTTGTCTGCAGTAAACAGACCAGAATGCAAGAATGCCATGCCTCAGAGAGAGTTAGCCAATCAGAGTATTACACACAGAATAATCACAGTACTTCCTGGTTATAATCCAATTTAATGTAGTTTTAATTAAAGCCTTGAGGAAGAAAGGAGAGAGAATATAAGCACTTCCTCCCTAGCAGTGCCCGTGTCTTTTCACACATATCAATTAGACATATCTAATTTTACAAATTTACAGGCTTTCTTCTCTGCCACAGTAAAGATCCAAACTTTTCAAGCAAGTTGGAAAACATGACAACCGCTAAATAATGTATTACAATTATGAACAGAGCAATACAAATTAAGTCATATAAAGTGGAAAGTTGCCCTATAAAAAATAAAGATCTAAATTAGCCCTGCCAATCTGAGGGAGAGGAAGAGAACACGGAAGCCATGAAATTAGTGATTCTACATTAATGAGAATTATAAAACATTAGAGAAAAAAATGACTTATCAAACAAAGCACTGTCAATTCTTATACATACACCCTACAATAGGGAGCATTCTGAATTTGTAATCTTCCCAGATGGCTTCTGAGAAGCAAAATAAATGAGGGATGCCAGATGTTCTTAATAATTGAATGATTCACTTAACAACTGCAGTGATCCACTTAACAACTGTGACAAGAAAGATTGTAAAATGGG